TTATCTATCCAGAAGACAGATTAACACGGCGCCCGGCGTCTGGTGGCACTTGCAGTGGCCGAAACTTTTTGGTTTCACGGAAGTTGCAGCCCAGACCATCCTTGTCTTTGCTCTCGAGGTTGCGCGCGGGTATGCCCAAGTCTTTTGATGTAATTTACTTCACTAGTACATTCTGAAAAAATGAACGTTTTCAGGCAAACATGGCATGAACTTGTTCCTTTTTTAAAGCTTATTTCGACCCATCCTATACAATAATAGTGAGACCCCACTCTACTCAACAATAATGAGATTCCTTATTCCCTTCTGGGCAAGGGGCCTCTTGAGTAGAATATCAGGGGTACATTACCGTTTCCGGTCAACGGCTGAAGGACCATTCCGTCCCATCGCAAAGTGTCTTCTGGCTATCATTCTGACGACACGGGGCGGGATCTCCTGGTCGATCCGGAGGCCATTAGAAGGATATATCATATCACATTGTTCCCATCCCTGACACGGGAGGCCTTCTGACCCGCGCAGTTAGCCCTGGATCAGCACAGGCACCCTCATTGACGCAACAACATCCGTGATCACCGCAGATGATCCAATAATTGTCACATAGACTCTAGCTCCGCGTTTTTCTGTGTTCTTCAGAGATGTTTCTACCTGACCGTAGATTGTAGATGAAATGGAGTTCCTAACTTGTATTAGCGTGGCTAACCCATGCTCGTCTTAATATACTCAAGATCCTGTCACAACTGACAACTGATAAGAAAGCTACGTAATATGGTGTTGAACATACGCGCTCCCAAGTCATAGCGACAACAGCCTCGGCGGCCGGCGTTGCAGTCTCCGGCCCGTGCGGCGTCGGCCTCGGCGAGGTAACACTAAGCGATGACCAACGGGCAAACAAAAACAAAAATTACGTGTCTTAAAGGCGATGCCTGGTGAACTAGATAAATTGACATGCATGTTAAATGTAATACAATAGTAAGCCGAATGCAGCCTTAATCGAAAAGTGGAGGGGGGAGGGGGGCGGTTAACATTGCAAGCCCCCACCTTGAAGAGTGGGGGCCCATGGTTCCCTGGCCCCCCGTTCCTACACCCATGGTCTCAATGGACCAAAAGTAAAATGCACAGAATAGAGCAGAATACGCAATATCTGGGCTATGGTTCTGTACGCACAGGATGTACACAAAATGTCTTGTAATCTTTTCCCAGTGAAATTGTATTTGGGAAGAATAATGCATGGCACTCATGCTTGTTTGATGAACACCTGGGGACACATGTCTACGGAGAGCGTACGTTCACAATTAGGGGAGGAAGTAGTCGACATACATGCACCAATAGCACACATTATAACATACTTAAACTTTTAGGTGTACATTTCAGCAACGGCATAAGACAACGCGATCCAAGGATTTAACAATCGCTGCGTATCGGTCAACTTTGTCAGGGGATAAACCCGCAAGCACCGTCGTGAAATACCGATTGTTAGCGCTGTTGTTCAGGTACAGTACGTTCAGCAATAATTGCTTGCTGATTAATTTGGACACTGATTTCCTGCAACGAATTGCTTTTTTATCTGTGATACAGTCCATCGAAACCTTCCGGCCTAGCCATCGATGTCTCGTGCAAGCCTTATCATAGTACCATGTACCTAACATTAGGACACGGGAGCTTGCATGCTTGATTATTTTAATACTTTTTCTTGCCAGGATCTGCACAGATTTGCAACAATTGCAATCATTCACAGGTCTTTTGAGTTGCGCGTTTTGCGTTAACTCATTCACAGGTGAACACGTGTACTACCTGGAACTGTTTAATTATCAGAATATTTTGGAAATATTTTGGGCTCAGAATCTTGGCGTAGCTACGTGCCTACCGGTAAACTGGGTACCTGTGTTTTTGGCATAGATTTCATAATTATGAGAAAAAATCGTGCGTGCGTGCGTGCGTGCGCGCATGCGCGCGCGCGTGTGTGTGTGTGTGTGTTGCAGTACTGGTGTAAACATTAACGGTTGCTACACGCGTAAGCGTTGCCTTTTTATCTTAAAGGGTGACGAATTTCTGGGTTTGCCCTCATGCGATGAACAGAGGCAGTGTCACCGGCTTCCCTTGTAGGGTGAGCATATTTAACAAAACCGAAGTTGTCCTGAGATTTCGCCCACTTCACAACCTAACTTCCCAAATATATGAAACTAAGCACAGCAACCTCTCAGCCCGGCGGAACCCCATAACTTGTAAATCAGTGCTTCCTATTGAACTGGTGGGACTTTTAGCAGCAGAGACGCGGCCATAGCTCAATCAGTTAGTGCTTGCTACCCAGCCCACATGTGACGGTGAGGGTAGGTTTAAGTCCTCCTGTTATTCGCCCTCAGCGCTCCACATTTGCTATTTGCCCTATTTTCTTTCAGGGTCTCATCCGGGAGAGTTGAAGGTTCTTCCGAAGTCTCCTGAGCGTGGGCAATCCGAGTGTGGGTATTCCACGTATAGATCTTCCGGGCATTAAGCCTTCCGAGCATAGTTTTTCTGACCCTCATATTTCCTAGCTCGGGAGACAAGCTCACCATTGCTGCTTCGTCAGCGGCGAAACTGCTTCGTTGCTTTATGACTTACAGGCTCGGGGGAGTGAATGGACAGTCGTATAGGACATCAGCCATGTTTTGACAACTTGGATGTATTTTTATGCGTTTGGCCCCCCATTCAAGGTCACTAGTTCACGACTTGACCGGTGTCACGTTTACGCACTGAAACTAGACTTTAAAACAGTTTAACATTTACGCACTTCCCTATTCTGGATTTTTCTTGTCGACATTGATTTACATGAATATTAATGCATGGTCCAGTTCAATGAGGATTCATATGTTACATGCCTCGGTGCCCGCCTCAAAAGGACCAGGCCTGGAAGCCCCCCCCCCCCCCCCCCCTCTGAAAGAAGACCCCATGTTGTTCAGGAAGCCCTCTAGAAAAGCCTTTCCTCAACTTATATCTCCTGGCGCCGCCCCTGCCAGACCCAATAGATTAATGTGGGGAATCCACATCAATGAAAAGTCTCCACTAATCTCTTGATGCACCAGCTAATTGTTCTAAATGGCAGCATGTGCAGTATCTTGACCACAAATGGCTATTCATCGAACCATATCCTATGATTTGTAATGCAGCGTCCTTTGTAATATGTTACACCTTTGACCTAGATCCCAGTGATAAATGATCAGAAACAGGCCCGATACCCGATACCAATACCCGATACCCCGAGACCCGGCCCGAACCCGATAGGAGACATAAATTATTGATACCCATACTTTCCCCTTTCTTGCAAGGTTTACTCCGTTGGACGCTGTAGGCTAATTGTGATGAAAACGTAACAGCGATCACTTAGCATAAACAACAGTTGCAACAAGAGGTTCTAGTTGCATATAGCTATGGCCAAACAAAGAACACGCCCCCGGTCAGACACAGAACAAGTTTCACGCCGGCTAACGGTGACGCTGCGACTCTTTCACAGCACCTCCGCGCGTGTCCAACGCCCCACTCCACGGTGCTCGTCTCGTACTCAACGATCACTTGCAAATCGAGCGCGGCCTCGCCGACCAACAGCATCCGACACCATCTCTGCACCAACGTGGAAAATGAATCCGTTACTACGCGACCCACCGACCGCATGTTTGTAGTGTTCGTGCTGGCGTCGACCGTATGCACGCGGCCGACGCTGGACAGAGCAACGCTGGCTACCAATAAGGGCGATTATTCATACCCTGGAGGCCGCTCCAAGAGCTATTTTGGGGGCTCTGGTTCGTGGACATTCTGTACCTTGGACAATACGTACATTGGACATTCTGTACTTTGGACACTCTGTACCTTGGGCATTCTGTATATTGGACGTCATGAAACGGGCCCCTTCCACTCTGCGCCATTTTGGAAGCTATTTCCTATCTTGGACATTGTGTACCTTGGACATTATAAACTTTAGACATCGTGTACCTCGGACATTCTGTACTTTGGACATTCTGTACCTTTGGACATTCTGCACCTTGGACAATATGAATGCCTCCCAGCGGGGCGCACGTCAAACCTCGCGTTAGTCGCCACGTTATGTGACCCCGAAGCAAAATGGGTTACTTAACTACACTAACAGCCGCACAGCGAGGGCGTCACTTGCCGGTAGTCCTTGTCGCTGCACCATCTATCGTCCCTGTTCGGATACCATCTACGGAGCACGCAGACGCAACTGTTGTGCACGCAACATGCATGAAAAATCTGTCGCACTTTGAGCCATCGAGCCACTTTCAAAATTCTAACCAGCCTATCCCAGGCCGTATTCTGGCCTGGGATAGGATATAGGAGGCGTCTGCCTCGAGGAGGCAGACGCCTCCTCATCGACTCTAGATGCCAACCGGTTCGTGGAGTTTCGCTTCCCAGGAAAGACAACGTTGGAATGAAATAATGATCTTGGGAAACTCGATAGCCATATTTGCCGAATGACATAGATGAGTCGAATAGGCAAGAGTTTGCAACAGTGAGGAGCAGCTCTAGATGCATATCTAGAACAGCAGCCATTACATTTGAATAAAGAGCAATAACAACCTCTATCTCTATTTCCCCCGCTGGTCATCGGGCTTGCTGTCCTGAAAAAGTAGCTAAAGTACTCCCTGAACCTGCCCCCCCCCCCCCACACACTTTTTGAACCGTGCCTACGCCCATGCTCGCAAACCTGTCATATAGTTTTACGACCTCGTCCCACCTACCAAAAAACGGTGGCGCAACCCCTGCGGCCCCATTTCCGCAGGGTCCCTCCGCCTAAGTCCTGCATGTGCTTATTATAGCATCTTGTGGCATATCTATGTCCCTCCTCCACTGCGTGCCCTCCTCCTTACGCACTTGGCATAAAAAGGGGCGAGCACATGTTGACTGTGTCCATCACTATAAAAGTTACAACTCTAGCGCGAATCTGACGAAATCGGTTTGTGCAAGAGTCGTGTTTGGCTCAGTTTGGCTCCTATCGGTTTTCCATTGGGATCTGAAATATTGCGGGAAGGTTTGTGAGGGGTCCGCGGTACCAGCCAACGCAACGCTTAATGTGTTGAATAATTCGTTTCAGTAGGAAACAAGGTGCCTGCTCAAGCTGGTGCGTTGTGCCCTTCTGGACGATTTTCCGAGAGGTTATACTTTTTTGGTAGATCCCGATGCAAAGGCAATGGGCACAACAAGCCTGTGAACATGGCTAATGAATCCAGTGCTCAAGAGAGTTACTAGAATGACTTCTTGTAAAGGTAGGTCTCTCTGGGACAGGTAATGATTGGCCAAAGGAAAAATTCAATGTGCATTGTGTGTTATCTACCTGCATATGTTTTATTTGACACGTGTGGGACACATGCAGGTTACAATCATGCAACTGGCACTAACCTAATCCTGATAGTTAAATCTGAAGCATGACATAGGCACAGATTGTGTGAAGGCCTAGTGGATATGTAGAATGTCTTAACTGTGTGCTCCTGCCATAACCCAAATGCCCCATGTGCCAACATGTATTGTGACTGATGCACAATGCTTTTTTGGTGGAAAGGATGTCCATGAATTATGTTACACATTTTCAGCATTTTTCAGCCTGCTCACCACATGGATGCACACTGGGTGTGATATGATAGAATTCCTTGCCTAGCTGAGCATAATGTGCTGTCCAAAAATCCTTCCCACTTAATCTTTGGCTTATGCCCCATCAAAGTTGTAAATCTTTTCCTTCATGAAACAACTTATTGATAGCCCCACATGATGTCTTGTGACATGATTACATCAGCATCACATGGAAAAGTCGTGGCCTGAGCTGGCATTTCAGCCTCTGGAAACAAATTTTGCCAAGGCAATGTCTGTTTTTTTCTGGTTAGAATCAGTATAACCTGGCAGAAACTAACAAAGTGAACATATTTGTTGGAACTAGTTGTCATCCAAATGTGATTATCAGCTGTTCACTTTTCAGTTAACTGTCTAAGAGTCATTGGTATGACAACAGCATGGGTGTCAATTTCTTGAAATGATTGGGGGGCCAAAGTATTGTTGTCCCGTCATCCAGGCTCAGGCAGCCTTACCACCTCTGGATGGCTCTGGTGATGAGTGTGCATTTGAAGCCATCACTCTGGCCAAAGAATGGTTTTCAAACCTGTGACTACAACAGAGATTCAGTGGAACACACTCGGCAGCAATGGTGATTGCACTGTTGGACACATGGAGTTCTTTGGCTTGATATGACATTGATGTAATAGCACAGCTAAAATCCTTGTGGGCTTCTACACAAGCCTATTCAGTTGTGATGTCCTTGACAGGATTTAACAAAAAGTAATACCCAGGATATTACATCTCTTTCACATTGTCTTGGAAGGGGAGTGGGTGGTGTGTGTGTGGGGGGGGGGGAGGGGGACCTAGACTTAACAAAGCCCCCTTCCTCCCCACACAAGTCATTAGTCATGTTCCTCTTCATTTTGTTTTTTTTTTAGCAGCATCAAGTTAAGTAGAAGCTAGTAGCCACTGGAAAATGCAATTCTGTTCCTATTTTTAACTTGAGCAGCTGACTGAGTCAGGTGTTCAAGAACTAGATGGAGTACAACATTTTCATTATTTCGTGATATTTCTCTTACAATGGTTTGGTGTTTTCTTTGTTAACTGATAGCACACAGGAGTTTTGCCGGATCTTTTTTTTTTGCTCCACAGCGATAGGAATTGAGGACTCCGTAAACATAGACTGTAGATCGAAAAAGGATCCAAGTTGAGTTTTGACATTGCCATCCCTCAAGTCTGGGAATGCTTAAACTACCTTTAGGATTGATATGTAGGAATTGATGGTGAAAAATTAGATGAACATGCGCACTTTCAAGCCTTAGAAACAAAACCCAGTATCCGACGTTGCAGCTTTCGTAGGCCGCACGGCGTCGGCCCCCTCCCCGCTTAACACTAGGCGGTGGCCGACGGGCGGACGGGACGATGACGCGTCGGAAAGAAACGCCTTTGAACGCTTTAAAGCATCCATAAGTACGTCTAGAAAAAAGTCCAAGCGAGTACATCATCTGCACAAGTTTTATATCGCCAATGAGAACGAATAAGCATTGACAATAACATAGCCGTAGGAACGTTTCAAAAAGTGGGGAAGGGGGCAAGTTCAGGGCGTGCTTCAGGAACTTTTGCTGTGAAAGCAAGCCCGATGACTGGGGGGGGGGGGGGGAGGGGGATTAGAGATGGAGGTTGGTGCCGGCTTTTAATCAAATGCCTGTTCAACTCATCAGTGTCATTGGGCAAATAAGGCTGTCCAGCTTCACTGAATGATTCGTCCATGTCAACATTGTGTTTCCCGGGGAGGCGAAAATCCACGCACGGGTAGGCATTTTGGGTTATTGAAAGGGCATCTGTCTCCACAGGATGAATGCCAAAATGCGGTCTGGCGATAGGTTGGTGAGAATTATGAAAGCGAATCAATGCCCCACAGTGCGACAAATTTTGTACGCGCCTTCATTTTGCTGGCTGATTTTCAAGACATAAGACTTGTCGCAGCGTTTTAGGCGGAAACAAATTCGAAATATTGGAACTGTCAGGCAGCGTGGCAAAAGTCACACAACTGGAAATTCTTCTTAAAAAATCAAGCCACAGAATGAAGACCCCTCTGTCATATATGCCTTGCCTGGACCCTGCCACCGTCCGCCATCGGCGGCCACTGCCCTGGGCTGGCTGTCTTACGCGGACTGATCGTATGGGTGCTTTGTTGCATATTTCTGGATCAGCATTACCACTGACTGGTCTGTGAAACATATGTAAAACACCTGCAACATTATCTTTTTCCAAATTATCTTCCCTTTCACCACACCATCGCTTATCATACATTACATCATGCATTATAAATAATACATTACATCATACCATCATAAATTACATCACCCCTCTCAAAATCCCAGGATATAGCTGCTTGTTAAAAAGGGACACGATTTTTTTCGTTTTATTGCTATTTCTACTTTGAAACCAGAATAGAAAACAGGAGCTACCGTGAGATCAGTTGTTTTTATTTTGATGTTAATAAACTGTAAGTCAGGCGTTGAACAACCGCACGAAATAAATCACTGGTGCCTTTAATTTACAATGGATTTGTGGGCTCTTTCTGAAACGATAGAACTCATAAGCTTTGTTTGAATTTGTTATCTGGGTTCTATAGACATTAAGGACATCGCGAAGGTACGTTGTAGAGTGATATGTCTGATGGAAATTTGAATAGAAAAATTTGATTGTAGATCAGGTGGTCAACAATGTGTATTAACGTGATCAAGCCATGTTTAGCTGGAAATGATCAACATCCAGTCAGAGTCAATTAGTGATACAATCTACGTAACGCGTTTTTTCAACATGCGCGCTCGCAAATCTTAGCAACAAAAACCTCCACTCCAGGCGTTGCAGTCTCCGTAGTCCGCGTAGCATTAGCCTAGCGGTTAACTTTCAGCTGTGACCCATCGGTGGACGAAAATGATAACACTTCTGAAAGAATTACCGTAAAACACTTTCATCGATTAGTGCCAGTGATACAAGTTATGTGACATAATTTTGAGCACGCGCACGCGCAAATCTTCGCAACAAAAACCTCGACGCCAGGCGTTGCAGTCTCCCAAGGTCGCGCAGCGTCGGCCCAACAGTAAATACCAAGCCGTGGCCTACGGGTGGTCGAAAATCATGACGTTTTTTGAAAGAAGTACCTTGAAACGCTTCAGGGCATCAAATCTTGCATTCAGAAGGCGGTCTGGGCGCATATTTCACGTGCGCGATTTTTAGATTGATGATAGGAGTGGATTGGCACTTAGAGCACCACAAAGCGATGCTGGGATATGGTGGGGGCATTGGAAGAGTAAAGGCAAAATCTTTATTTTTCGTGTTTCTGTAGCTATTAATCTGTCCAGAAGACATATTACCACGGCGCCCGCCGTCTGGTGACACTTGCAGTGGCTGATGCCGTTCGGTTTCACGGAAGCCGCAACCCAGGTCATCACTGTCCTTGCACTCGAGGGTGCGTGCGGACATGTCCAAACATGTCGATGTAATTTATTCGACTAATCCATTCTGAAAAAAATGAGCGTTCTCAGGCAAACATGGGATGGCTTTGATCGTTTTGTTTTTAACTCTTCTCAATGCACTCTATTAAACAGGAATGAGGCTACCAGTACTCAGCAAAATAAAGACCCCTTATTTCCTTGCAGGCAAGGGCCCTTAGGTAGAAAACCCGGGGTACATGAACGTTTCAGGTCAAGGGCTGAAGGGCCATTCCGTCCTATCGCAAAGTGCCTTCTGGCTGTCATTGCGGTGACACGGGCAAGATCTTATGATCGATCCGGAGGCCACTGGAAGGGTACATCATAACAAATTGTTCCCCTCCCTGACACGGTAGGCCTTCTGACCCGCGCAGTTGACCTGGATCATTACAAAAAAAACCCACTGACGCAAGAACATCCCTGATCGCCGCAGGTGGTCGTATAATTGTCGCATAGACTCCGGTTTCATGTTTTTTTTTTTTTTGTTCTACAGAGATATTGAGGAGTCCCTGAACGTAGATTGTAGATGAAATGAGGGTCCCAAATTCGTATGAGCATAGCTAACCCATGTTCGTCTGAAAATGTTCAAGATTCAGTTCGAATCGATCACTGATAAAAACTATTTAAGCTAGTTTGAACATGCGCGCTCGCAAATCATAGCAACAACAGCCTCGATACCCGGCGTTGCAGTCTCCATAGGCCGCGCGGCGTCGGCCCTGTGGCTGTAAGTTTAAGTGGTGGCCAATGGGCGACCGAAAAAGATCATGCGTCTTGAGGAAGATGGCTGGTGAAGTAGGGAAATCGGCATGTATGTTTAATGTAGTGCAAAAGTGTGTTGTGTGGGGGGGGAGTTACACTGCTGGCCCCCACCTTGAAAAGTGGGGGGGGGCATGGCCCCCCTACCCCCCTGTTCCTAGGCCCATGGACAGTAATGCGAAATCACGCTGCAGCGTGGTGGAGGAGCTGGAAAAGTTGAGGCGACATTTTCATTTCGGTGTTGCTGTAACCTTCAAACTGTTCAAAGGTTAACCAAACTCAACATTATGCCGCTGAATTGCATATCTCAATAAAAATTTTGAACGATTCGTATTGATTTTGAAAGACTCGGAAGTATTATTTCACAACGGTCTTTCTCGCGCGCCCGGTGCCCACTGTCTGGTGTTATCTGCGGCGGCCAACGCTGCTCGGTTTACAAAAACTGTAGCCCTGGCTCATCCTTG